CCCCAAAACCCCAAAACCCCAAAACCCCAAAACCCCGCTAATCAACCAAATTATTGAAGGTCAGATTTTATTTGGATTTTTAATTAGAATTAGACCAATACAGGATATAATTTAAATGCATATTTCTTTATAACGGCTTCAATAAATTTTACTTGGCATTAGTTTTGGCCCAGTCTAAATGCTCCATTGAAGGCTTCCCCGAGAGACAGGACTAAGGAGATGCGCATAAGCGTTTTGGCTCGATCCTAACTCCAGCTAAGCAATCTCACGAATCGCTGATATTTTAAAACTAATTAAACTCTTAAGGCCTTAATGCCAATAAAATTGACTCTTAAAGAAAGCAAGGAACTGTAAAGATTTGTAAAACTAATCTCTCTAGAAAGAACATGGAGATGAACAAGGTAAGTCAAGAGTAATCTTTTTAAGAGAAATGCATCACTTTGGCTAATAAGATACTTCTTTTATGTCATTTTCTACCTCTGAAAATTTTCTGAGGGAAGAATCTCTTCTTCATCGGAGACATCCCTATATGTCTCTTGCTTCAGCTTCAACTTGTATGATGGGTTCCATATGAAGCTAGACTTTGCTATATGAGAAGATTAACATCATCTCGAAGGAAATGAAAAATATCAAAAGCACAAATATTGACGTGATGGCTTACATTCCACAATCAGATGAATCTTCTTGCTGCCTGAAACTGGAATCTTCATCTTCTTTAGATTTCCAACCCTCTCGAAGTCTTCGGACATAAAGTCAGAAGCAAACACATGGATTTTGGCTCTATGAGTCTTAGCTGATAAGACCCTGAGGGTATAGTTGTCAAATCCACTTTGAGATATGGTGTGCTTGCAGTAAGGAAGCTCTTCCATTGTATTCTTAACTTCAATAGGATAATCCTTGTTAATGTTAATGAACATCTGACATTCATGGACAGCTGGGCATAGTAAATACTGAGAGCCTTCTGATTTCTGAACTCTATCAGAGCAAGTATAACGATATCCCCAGCCGCATTGCTCTCCTTCTTCATCTTTATCACAGCAGTAAGAAGTAGGCTCATAGAATCCTTCAGAGCATACTATCTTGCCTTGATTCAATCATTCAGAGCATCCTTGGGGTGTTGTGATCTTTTCTCTAGCTTTACCAATGCTGCAGAGAGCAAGGAGTAAACCCAATAAAATTAGTGTTTTCATTATATATTATTGATCATCAATTTTCCTCTTCTTAAATGGGGTTTTGGGGTTTTGGGGTTTTGGGGTTTTGGGG